TAAGTGGGTTTTAGAAGGTTAGGAGGTTGAATAGAAAATGTAGATTTCATTTTAAATTATGATCTGCGACAATTACTAATAATTACGTATACGTGTAACGTTGAGTCATTTATAAATACCTTTTTTTTAAAAAAAATGAACTTAATTATCTTATTGTTGTTGAACATGGCCTCCTTTTATGATGAAATCGAGATTGGTGTGTTTTTTTGCACTTTATTTCGTAATATGTGTTATATTAATTGACCTGAATACTTTATTTCTAATTACATTTATAATTACTAAATTTTTTTCCTGAAACAGAAGACTTCGAGTTTGAAGAAAAAACACAAACATATCACTATCCGTGCCCATGTGGTGATCGATTTGAAATAACGATGGTATTTAATTTTGTGTCACAATTGTTTTTCGTTTTTGACTATATTCTTTTTTCTGGTCTTACGATTGTTTTTATTTTGCCAAGACTGATCTTCTTGATGGAGAAGACATAGCTAGGTGTCCAAGTTGTTCTTTAATGGTTCGTGTGATATATGATCCGGTAAGATTTTCTTTGAGTATTTATACTACTATTTTGTCCTCTTTTAATATATCCTAAATGTTTTGACAATTTTTAGGATGATTTTTATGATAAAAATCAAACAACTATTAACCTAGAACAAGAGGCAATTGCGGTTTGAAATTGTACTTTTAGATAAATAAAAAATTAATAAAGTAATATAATTTAAGTAAAAATTTAAATTTTAAATTATATTTTTGTTGCATATAAGACCATTTTAAGGGCATTAACATTTTTCATGTTCATGTTTAATCCTACCACATTTCTTGCGTTTGTTCTTTACTAATAGACATTCAAGACCTGTGTGTAAATGCAAAAAAATCATCTCTCGTATCTCAAAATATCGTATAAGATCGCCATTTACGCCTGTTTATAAACTTTTTCTATAGTTTTAATAATCATAAAAGTGTTATTATATCTAAGAACAAAACTTTACGTATAGATAAAATAATATTCGACATATTCATTACATGGTTACATGGCAGAATCCGAACATATCAGCATTCTAGATAATAATCATGTTGAAATTTGCAAATGCAAAATTTTGGAATCTTTAAATTTATAATGCCTACTAAAATTCACAAAAAAGGTTGTAAGCTTCAAATTTTTGTATAATTTTATAGTAAATAGGTTAAAATTATAAATCTATATACTGTAGCTTTAACAAATATGGTTTATTTTGTTACAAAATACTGTAACTATATTATTATACAATACAAATCTTTTTTTAATATAATTTCTAATCTTAAAAATACATATTAATTAATTTAAAATATATGGAGGTGAGTCAATAGAAATCAAGCAAATTATTTTTATTGAATTTTTTTAAAACTTTATACATTAATAATT